CTCGCTTAACATATGTTAATATTTTGTATCATTGCATGCTAACATTAACATACGCACATACATATATACTCACATACCTACTAACCCAGTAGTGCATATACCTTGTACGGCACACGTAAAGGAAAAATATTAATAAGCGCGGTAAAATTAAAATAATCGAATTAACGATTTAAATTGCGATAATTTAAAGAAACCTTGTTTATTAGAAAAAAATATATATACACCCAATCGGAAACAAATATAAAAGTAATAAAAAAAAAGGATAATACAGAGAGAGTATTGCGGTACATTGTGTTAATATAAATAAAAGCAAGTCAAAATCCAATTGACGATACGGGAACTTGCTTATATTATTCGCGGTTAAAATTAAATACAGAGAAAAAATAAAATAAAATCTATATATTCTCGCATACTTAATGCCTTCTGATAAAACTCCAGCAAAGGAGCAATTAGCCAAAACCCCAATCACTTTAAAAGTACAAACAATGGTTGATGAGGATAAACCTCAAGGTACACCTGCAGAAGCTACACGCTTGAAGCAGGGTGCAAAACAGAGAAAAACAAAAGATTTCTCAGGCGCAAGATTCATTTCTGATAGTGACAGTTTGGTAAGATACTGCACTAAATTCTCCTCAGCCCCAATAGATGACAATTCCGAATCGGTTCTGGAAATAAAAAACCACAACCTTGACAACTTCTGGGCGCGCCTTCAAGCGGCATATGACAAAATTATTGAAACGGATGATTCCGATTTACCCGAGAATTTCAAAGCTTCGGCTGCCGCCAAATACGAAAACTGCCTTGACCAATATGAAGAGACAAAAGCTATGATCTCCGATCAGCTTAAGTTATTAAAACCAGTTAGCGCACCTACTCCACCCCCGAGAGTAGAAGTAAGCCAAATTCAAGAGCAAAGCTCAGGCATATATCTCAAAGTGCCAGCATGTGACACGGAAACTTTCCATGGGGGTTATGAACAATGGCCGTCCTTCCGGGACATGTTTACAGCCGTATACATAAATCACCCAAAATTGTCACAAGCACAAAAACTGTACCACCTCAGGTACAAGACTAAAGGTCAAGCCGGCAGTATAGTGAAGCAATTCGCATTAAATGACGATAATTTCAATCTGGCTTGGGAAGCATTAAAAGAAAGATATGAAAACGAAAGAGTACTGGTCGATAAACAAGTAACGATTTTAATGAATCTACCGAAAACTCAAAAAGAAACGAGTGAAGAGTTTATTAAATTACAGTCCACTGTCTCAAACTGTCTATCAGTCTTATCCACTCAAAATATTCCCACAGATAACTGGGACCCTATTCTGGTAAACATTTGCGCCGCAACTTTACCAGAAAAATCGTTACTTTTATGGGAGCAATCGCTCTCATCCCGTAAAAAATGCCCGACGTGGCAACAAATGAAAGATTTTCTAACTACCCAGTACGAAATCGCAGAGAGGGTAGATACAAAAATTACAAAAGCCAAAAATACACAAAATGATCTACATAGAAGCTTCATGAAACCCCAAGCCAGCAATCACAATTCACATAATAGAAGCTTCAATAGATCGCAAACATTTATGAACGAAAATAAACATACGTCATGCGAATTTTGTAAAGCAGGTCACTCATTAAGATCTTGCGAGAAGTTTAAAAAACTTACGACGACCGAAAGATATAATGTCGTCAGAAATAATAGGCTTTGCACAAATTGCTTCTCACACTCTCACACGCAAAAAGACTGTGAGAGTAAATTTAATTGTGTATATTGCCAAAAGAGGCATCACTCGATGCTCCACATTAATAATTTTACCCCCCAAAATAGCTCTAACTCGCAAAGAGCCACAGGGCTAGTTGCAACAGCTAGACCCGAACACCCCGAAAATCTCGAAAACGAAACAGCAAATATACAAGCGCTTCATTCCGAAAAGGAAAGCAAAATTTTACTGCCAACCGCGATTGTCTCGATTGAACATCGAGGAGAATTGTTCAAGCTTAGAGCTCTAATCGATCAAGGCTCACAAAGATCGTTTATCCCATCAAAAGTACAAAACCGGCTAAAACTCCCAACCACAAACTCCAACTTTGAAATTTCGGGAATGGGTGGAAGAGTAATACAAAACTCTAATAAAATCTGCTCATTAACCCTGATTTCCCCCAATGCGGATGTAAGAATAGAGGCACACGCCATAGTTCTGCCGCAACTTACAAATATGCTTCCAAGCCATAAAGTAAATGGGAAAGATCGCCAAAAATTTGCCCACCTCAAATTAGCGGATCCAACTGCCACACCCCCGCGCAAGTTGATATCCAATTAGGCAGCGACATAATCCCCCAAATAATGCTAGAAGGCATTGAAAAAATTTCAAATACCTTGTTAGCCCAAAATTCCATCTTTGGATGGATATTGAGCGGCCAAGTAAAAGAAAAAATATCGGTATTCACAAATCAAGTTGAAGATATTTCAAACGAATACCTCAATTCTCAATTAAGAAGATTTTGGGAGTTAGAAGAACTCCCCCCCATGAAAGTCATTACCCCAGAAGATAAGTATTGTGAAGACTATTATAAAGCCACAACTACAAGATCAAAAAACGGCCGTTACGTCGTAAGGCTACTATTCAAGCCACAATTTCCCGACACACTCGCCCTAGGTCGCTCCCGAACCTCTGCGCTTCAGCAGTTTTTAAGTATGGAGAAAACCCTACTTAAAAAAGGCGAGCTTAAATCAGCATACGATGGTGTCCTGGAAGAATATCTCGATTTAGATCATATGGAAAAAGTAAATCCATATGAGAACATAACCAAAGGTAAATACACCTCATTTTACCTACCACATCATGCGGTTGTAAAACCAGACAAAAAAACAACCAAGGTAAGAGTAGTCTTCAACGCCTCGAAATGTACAAGTTCGGGCAATTCCTTAAATGACATTTTGTACACAGGACCCACATTACAACCCGATTTAATGCTTCTGATTTTAAAGTGGCGTATGTTCAAATACGTATTTAACGGAGACGTCGAAAAAATCTATCGACAAATACTCGTACATAAAGACGATCAAGACTTTCAGCGCATTATATTTCGAAATTCACCTAATAGTCCAATATGTGACTATAAACTCAAAACGGTGACATTTGGCGTAAATTGTGCCCCTTTCTTGCCATTCGAACACTTCACGAATTGGCAAACGATATAAAAGAAAAATTACCCCTAGCAACCCCGGTGTTAAAAACACAAACATATGTGGATGATATCCTGTCTGGAAGCCACAGCTTACCCCAAGCGTACGAAGCACTATCACAAGTAATACAAGCCCTCAAGTCAGCAGGGTTCCCCCTAAAAAAGATAACCGCCAATCACGCCGAAATCCTAAAAGATATAAATAAAGAAAGTTTATTAGATTCAAACTTCCTAATATTCGAAAAGGAAAGTAAAACCCTAGGCATACAATGGAATGCGATCTCAGATAAATTCTCATATACTCTTGAGTCGATATTTGCTCAATCCGCAATAACTAAAAGGCAAATTCTGTCGGCTGTAGCCAAACTTTTTGACCCCGCAGGATGGCTTTCGCCAGTTATGATACAAGCGAAAATCCTGATACAAAAATTATGGCTAGACGGAACCGAATGGGACGAGCAAGTGAAACCACTTCGCTTGGTAAAATGGTCCCAATTTGCTAACAACTTGCACGCTATTGCAGAGATACAAATCCCTAGATGGGTAAATTACTCCCCCGAATACCAAGTAGAACTGCATGGCTTCTGCGACGCCTCTGAAAAGGCATATTGCGCAACTATATATGTGCGCACCCAAATTAACAGCACAATTTCAAGCCATTTGTTAGTAGCAAAAGCCAAAGTGGCACCTCTCAAAACACTAAGTCTACCACGACTTGAACTGTGTGGCGCGCTTCTACTCGCAAAATTAGCCTCAACTGTGCAAACGCATTTAAACATGACCAGTCAAAAATTATATCTATGGTCAGACACAGAGATCGTCTTAGCTTGGTTAGAAAAACCACCCCACTCATGGAAAACATATGTTTCCAACCGCACAGCCCAAATACTTGATTTAGTTGGGCCGGTAACTTGGCGACATGTAGCCAGTGCTGATAACCCCGCCGATCTTGGCACAAGAGGTTGCAAACCCTTGCACCTCGCCACCACCTCACTCTGGTGGAACGGCCCCAGTTGGCTACTAGAATCACAACAATTCTGGCCACAATCCCCCATACGCAACATAATTGCCCCAGAAAGTCGAAAAGTTGAAACCTTTCACACAATACTGGATGACAATGACATACTAGAACGATTTTCCTCGTTCCCCCGTGCCCTAAAGGTAGTCGCCTATATGTTCAAATTCGTATAGCGCCTCAAAAATAAGGTGAAGAAAACACCGAATTCCCCAGATAACATGTTAACGCATCAAGACCTACAAAAAGCAAAGGTTTCCCTTGTTGCATACACTCAAACGCGCTATTTCAGCCGCGAAATATTACTGCTAAGAGAATCAAAACCAATTGATAAAAAGAGTGAACTCTTAGTAATCAATCCATTTTTAGACACGAAAGGTCTGCTTCGTGCTAATGGACGGCTAGCGAACTCCAGCCTCACATATAACGAACGCCTCCCATAATAATACCAGAGAAATCCTCATTTGCAACACTATACCTCAGATTTCTCCACTTATTAATGCTACATGCCGAACATCGCCTCATGCAACAAATGGTCCGACAAGAATATTATATTCCACGACTAAAGCCACAGATCAAAAAATGCATATTTATATGTAAAGTCTGCACTATACATAAGCAGAAGATGCGCACGCAGATCATGGCAGCTCTTCCACCTGAACGCTGCACTTTCGCTCTGCCCTTCACTACCACTGGTGTTGACTTTGCTGGGCCTTTCCAGATAAAGGTTTCCATGTTAAGGACTTCAACCTTTACGAAGGGTTATGTGGCTGTCTTTGTATGCTTTACGACAAAGGCAGTACACCTCGAGCTATGTTCTGTTCTGACCACTGCGGCTTTTCTCGCGGCATTTGCTCGCTTCGTCGGACGGCGAGGATTTCCATCCAAAATAATGAGCGACAATGGAAAAACCTTTGTCGGAGCCAAAAGAGCCACTGAAAACCAGTTTGTAAAATTTATAGAGGAAGTCTCGCCTGAAATCGTTCAAAAATACGCACCCCAAGGCATTGATTGGCAATTTATCCCACCAAGTGCTCCACATATGGGGGGTCTCTGGGAATCCGCTGTAAAAAGCTTCAAAACACATTTTAAAAAAGTCGCTGGCGCACACAAATTTAACTTTGAAGAATTTACTACATTATTAACACGAATAGAAGCCTCACCCCTGGGCATTTTCTTAGAGGTGCTCCACTTCTGGCAATACCCGAACCAGACGAGCAATCCTTATCTCTACTGAATCGATGGGAACGAATGAAAATTCTCCATCATGAATTCAGTCGAAGATGGAAGGAAGATTATTTAAAAGACCTCTATAAAAGATATAGATGGAAGAATATTCAAGAGGAGCCTAAAATCGGAGAATGTGTTCTCATCCACGATGATTGTCTTCCCCCACCGAGTGGCGCCTCGCAAGAATCGACAAACTACATCGTGGCTCCGATGGTCACATACGAGTCGTAGATTTGCGAACACAAAACGGTACGCTAAC